GTTCCCTCCCCCCGCCCCCACAGCTTTTGGAGGTTTTGCCACAGACGGATAATTCGTTTCACTGGACAATTGGTTTGGTTTTGTGGGGTGGGGGTGGGGGTGTGGCCCTTTGAAAATCCAAATATATTTTTAGTTTTTTGTTTTTGATAAAAATCCCCAAAATATATTCAGGGTTTTGAACTTTTCCTGAGACCGGGTGACGGGGTTCACTCGCTAGAGTGGCACCTCCTGCTGGCCGTCTGGGGGATTAGTCCCCTCCTGGTGGTGTGTCGCCCGTAATTGTCACCACTAGCAGACCTGCTGCACCTCTAACCTCTGTCTCTGGTGCTTGAGTTCCCTGGACCACTTCCCCGTGGCCCCAGCATCTCCTTCGCCCTCTTCTCAGGGCCTCCCAGCCTGCTAGGAACCCCGTCCTCTCTCCTTGGGCACCCTGCAGACACTGGCTGCCTCTGCCCCTGCAGCTCCTTTTATGTGAGCCCTCTGGGTCCTGATGGGCTGCTCCGTTCAGCCGCTCTCTGATTGGCTGCTCCCTGCACAGCCTCCCGAGGCTGCTTTTAACCCCTTGCTTTCCGGTGTGGGGTGAACACTCCATCACAGACCAGAAAATGATTTTTTTCATGGGAAATGTCTGGGGAGTTTTCGTTGAAAACACGAACATTTCAGATGTAACCCTCCAAAACTTCCCGAGAGAAATAATGGCCATTTCCCCACATCAGGCAGGGCTCTGCAGTGACACTGCCTCAGTTTCCCCACCCTACCTCTAGAGAAAGGATTGGCCCGTGTGACAGGTGTTCATCGGGGAACTAAGTTCAGTTCGTTCTCTGCCACTGGACTCCCGGAGTGACCTTGGTCAAGTCATTTAGGGTTTCCCACGAAATAGTCCGTTTAAATCAGAGTCTTTTTATTCCCCAGATGCCCCAAAGGATGTGCGTGTTGAACTGGTGGCAGGCTCTCACATCCAGGAAGGGACCTGGGTTGTGCTCAGCTGCTCCTGCAGGGCTCATCCGCCCGTCAGCAGCTACACATGGTACAGAAACAGCCAGCACCTCCCAGCACAAACCCAGCAGGAGCTGCGGTTTGACCAGATCCATCCCGACCAGTCCGGTTCCTACCACTGTGAGCCTCGGAACACAGTCGGGATGTCGGAATCACCGGCCATTACAGTCGACGTACAGTGTGAGTAGCCAGGGGACCAGCAGGGGGCGCTGCAGCTGGGTGGGGTATCCAGGATCTGCACTCCAGCTTGGCGTGGCAGAGCCTGCATGAATCCCGGAGGGGCAGGAGCCATAGCCTCCCCCTAGGACTTCCTTCCTGCCTCTGAAGAGGCATTGGTGTGAGCGGTGGGATCCCGTTATGTACCTCAGCATTCAGGGTATCTGTGCACGGGTGGGGTGCTCTCCTCCTTCTGCTTCACAGAGTCCCCGATTGGGCACAGGGCCTCAGCAAAGCAGGGCTGAGCGTTAGCACCCCTTTGGGATGGCTTCCCCCTCTCCAAGCAACAGGCTCAGGCTCTCTGCAGACTCAGTCACACTCAGGGCAGCTCCCTCCTCTCCAAGCGACAGGCTCAGACTCTCTGCAGACCCAAGAAGCGTTGCTCTGTCAGTCGCACTTGGGGTAGCTCTCTCTGTGACAGGCTCCCCCCGGGGTGCCACTTGGAACTGGGGTACCACTGAGCACATCTGACCCACCAGCCTGGGTGCCCTGTCACACTGTGGTGCTGGGATCAGTTGCCAAGCTCCCAAAGCCTGCTCTTTCAGCAGCCTACACACAGAGAGGGACACACCCAGCTGCAGATTCACACACAGATGCTGAGATCAGCTCTGCATTGGAAGGCTCCGCTAAGGCGCCTCTCAGTTGCTAAGGCACGAACCCCCCTCTGGAGTGTAAGCCCCAAATGATACTGTCTTGCACTGCACAGGGAATTGTACAGCGCAAGCTCATACAAGTCGCCCCCTCCCTCAATGTGGCAAGAGGGAAGCAACAGCTTTCTGCCCCGAGTTATAATTCCCACACACTGGTTTTAGACAAAACCAACACAAGTTTGTTAACTACAAAAGATAGATGTTAAGTGATGATAAGTGATAGCAAACAGATCAAAGCAGATTATCTAATAAATAAACAAAACCGCAAACTGAGCTGAACACACTAGATAGGTGGGATATGAATTAGCAAATTCTCACCCTGAGTGATAAACAGGCTGGCAGATTCTTAAGGCACAAGTTGCCTTGGCTTTCCCAGGTTTTCATACACAGCTAAAAATACTTCCAGCCCGAGACCATCACTTTCCACGGTTCACTCCTTGCCCCTCAGGTGTTTCCAGGTGTGTTGTTGTCGGGAGAGTGAGGTACCATCATTTCCCCACTTGTATATCTTCTTCCCTCTTGCTGGAAAGCTCTTTTGCTGTGACCTGGGTGAAACGGTTCCCATTGTGCAGTGCTATCTCTGAGAGGTTTCGATTGCACACAGTTCCTGGGGTAACCCTGGTGATTGTCTGCATTTCCTCAATGAGCCATTAACATTGTTTGGCCTTTATACTGTTGTACCTGAAAGGCTGCTTGTGGGCGTTTTCATCCTCACAACATGTTTCAGTAACACATACATAGCCAAACTTCATAACTCCACATATGACGATAGCACGTACAATCCAACAAGATATTAATGTCTAGCAGATCAAGACTTTTAACATGATACCTCACAAGGAATACTTTGTACAAAACATATCCTAATTACATGACAGTGGTGACTATTGGGGTGCCAGGGTGTCACACCCTCCTCTCCCAGCAATGAGCTCAGGCTCTCTGCAGACTCAGGCAGGCGTCGGCTACACTCAGGCAGCTCCCTCCTTTTTATTTCCTGCCTATAACCCTCCCCCCCCGAACACCGAGACACACTCTGATCTCGATTCTTTTCCAGACCCCCCCAAGGAGGTACAAATCACCCTTGAAAACCCCCAGCGCATCCAGGAAGGCGACGCGGTGACGCTGAACTGCTCCGTGAGCAGCAGTAACCCCCCGGTGACCAAGTACACGTGGTACAAGGATAACAGCCAGTATCAGGAGACCCAAGAGAGCGTCCTGACCTTCCCTGCCACAAAGGAGCGGTCCGGTAGCTACAGCTGTGAGGCTCAGAACGCGATCAGCTATAGACAGTCTTCATCTGTCTCAGTGGATGTGCAGTGTAA